AAAATATATAACTGTGCAGCTATTGCATAAAACAGGTACATTCAACATATCCCCAGATAGCTTAGATCTGAGCACACATTATTACTGAATGGCGCTCAGATCACATACATACAGTTCAATTGCCATGGAGCCAAAGTCTTTTACATAGTCTTTCGTTATTCGAATGGGCTCCAGGGCATAGCTATCTGGGGTACCACTGTTCAAACAGGGCAAGTACCGAATGACCCGGCTTTTGGGTTTTTGCAGGGGAAAATCATGCATTTCAACATGGGGCCATAGTCACAGGGCAGGAGGCTGACAATCAGTCTTCTCCAATGCCCAGTGGCGAGGCTGGTTCCGCCACACCGAACACTGGCTTTTTACGTTGGAGTGTTCCTCAAATGTTAAAATATAGGGACACTATGGACATCCAGACCATTTCATGTTGATTAATTGTCTGTGTGCCATGTCCCTGTCTGTTTAACTCTGCAATGTAAAACATTCCCGCTTTGCAGGAATGGCACTGTTTACATTGCAGGGTTTAAATGCCTCTAGTGGCCTCTAGACAGCCACTACAGGTGCTTCCTCTGAAATAGCTGAGTTAAACTCGGTCATTTTTTTCAGATGCATGCACACTAGCCTCTTCAATGGCTGAGATCATCAGGCTTCATGATCTCAGCCATAGAGATAGGATGGCAGCACGTAGACTGGTGTGGAAAGTAAGTCATCTTTTTTCCTTCCGACGGGGGTGGGGGCACCTAAACATAATTGCATTCTTAACATTTACAATTTATATATTAATATATTACACATATATTAACATACATTTGCATGTATGTGTATGTATATGTGTATACCCGTCCCCCACCCCATCTGAAGGAAAATAGTAGACTTACTTTCCTATTCTCCCTTGTATATAAAATATATAAATACACACACACACACACTTTTTTTAATTAAACACTCACAAATAGTGATGTCCCGAACTGTTCGCCGAACGGTTCACCGCGAACGGTTCGCCACGGACTCATCATTGAGTAAACTTTGACCCTGTACCTCACAGTCAGCAGACACATTCCAGCCAATCAGCAGCAGACCCTCCCTCCCAGACCCTCCCACCTCCTGGACAGCATCCATTGTGAAGCTGCATTCTTAGTGAGCTGTACCTGTCTGAGCTCTTGTTGTGTTATGGGAGCAGTGAATCAGGAAAAAAAAATATTTAGTGGTATAATACCTGGTGCTAACTGTGAGCTGTGTCTCTGGTACCTGCTATATATGTTGGGGTTAAGGTGTGTCACTGGGCGATTTAGCCTATTAGCTACTAGATCCTGTGCTGTGCGCGCCTAATGGAGAGGTCTGATTGGGCTCTTTAGTGCTCTTTGGGGTCCCATGTGTGGGTTCTGGCTGAGTCGTCAGGAGATGCGTATAGTCCCAGTTTCCCAAATAGGGGTGGAGCTTCCTCTGCCGAGAATAGAGTGTGAGCTGTCCCATTGTGGAGCATGCTGAGTGATCTTGGTGGCGTCTTTTTTTGTTTTGTTCTAAAGCTTGACTAATAGCTAACTTTTAAGTACAGGAACTTTTTTGATTAATTTTTGTTATTTTTCTAACCCCTTAAGGACCAAACTTCTGGAACAAAAAAGGGAATCATGACATGTCACTAGTGATGTCCCGAACGGTTCGCCCCGGACTCATCATTGAGTAAACTTTGACCCTGTACCTCACAGTCAGCAGACACATTCCAGCCAAATAGCAGCAGACCCTCCCACATCCTGGACAGCTCACTAAGAATGCAGCTTCACAATGGATGCTGTCCAGGAGGTGGGAGGGTCTGGGAGGGAGGGTCTGCTGCTGATTGGCTGGAATGTGTCTGCTGACTGTGAGGTACAGAGTCAAAGTTTACTCAATGATGAGTCCGTGGCGAACCGTTCGTGGCGAATCGTTCGCGAACCGTTCGGCAAACAGTTCGGGACATCACTACTCACAAACTCACTGGAACACACTGTGACACACATGTACTCTAACACACACTGCTATTACCGTGAACTGTCAGGGTGCTTTGTGGTCGGCACAAGGTCATCCTTCCTGAACCTTTAATGTACACCTTTAATGCTAAGACCACCAGGACCTTATATCATGTATCCCAGTGATCTTAGCTCTGTGCATTGCAAGGAGTGACTGGCTGTTTTTGCTCCTCGCATCTCCCACTGGCTCCCTGGCTGCAGAGATGGAAAACTCAGCAGCCATCACCTGAGAGCCCCAGGTAATGGCGACTGACTGATAATTTTCTCAATAACACAGTGGGAAAGTCTGGCCCCACAAAGAATTTCCGGTGAGCGGTGAACTCTGTGCACCTCACTCCCACCTTTCACCTGGCTTTGTACCCCCTGGAGTGTTGCACCCTAAGTTGGTCATCTATGCCAATGCATGGGAGCACAAGCACTGTTCATGGGACATGTGATCCATCGCAAATAGAAAACCATCGGTAGACCATCCCTAGAAAACAGGGAGAAAGAATAGATACTGATAGAGCCAGGTTTCCTGCACACTAAATTCCTTTTAATTTATTTGTTTTGAGTAATTGATATACAGTGTAGAATGAGTGTAAAAATGTTGTCTAATTTTTTATCACACAGATTCTTGATTCCCTTGCGGAAACCTGTACCCCCTCTGACACAAGTACACCAAGGCGTGGCAGACGACAGCTTCCCTCTGTGCCTGCAACCCCGAGACCCCTCATCTCCTTCTCATCGTTAATTCGTCGACCGAAACGCAGCTCTCCACCTCTGAATGGCGATGACACCACAGAGCCAGTACCCAGAGAGCCAGGTCTGAGTGAGTCATCCTGCTCCCTCCAGGGGCGTCAGAGCTCCCAGTCCACCCCACAGCACTACATCTCAGAGCCCTATCTGGCACTGCATGAAGAGATGCAAAGTTCAGACTGCCCCACTGAGGACACACTCACGTTTGAGGTTGCTGTGGCTACCAGTCTGGGTCGATCCAACACCATTGGATCTGCTCCACCACTACGTCATGGATGGCAGATGCCAAATGGCCACTATCGTCGCCGAAGGAAGGGAGGAGTGCCACCAGTGATAGCCGCTTGTGAGCTGAGTGACACAGAAGAGGATGACCGATGTTAAGTGGCAGTGGGGCTCGCATGCTGTGTAACAGCAGATAATTTTTTCAAACAGCCCCTCCATCCTATCACTGAGCTTCTTCCAGAGAAGCCCCACAGCACTCACTGCCAGCCCCGTAACCAAAACCGCAAGAACTGAGGGAAGGCCAGGCAAAGCCTTGAGAGTGGCTATAGCCTATATTTTAAAATCTTGTGCCAAAAACAGAAACTGTCCAGAAAGGAGTTCGGTGAAAATGTTTACCAGAAAATGTGGGTTTTTAAATCCCAATAGATAACTATGGAGAGTGGGGCAATCTGTGATATGTTAATAGGTTTGGAAGAGGCTGTGGGGACAATTGCCCTCATGCATGGGTAGACACTGACTGACTGGCCTGTAATTGCCTGCCAACAATAAGACTCATTCTTTGAGATATTGATGATTGACTAAGTAGGACAGCATAATCAATCAAATTGATCATTCCATACAAGAGCAGGTATTTTGAATGACACTTGGTTTGGTAATGAAAAGTACATTGGTTTAATAGCTTGATAATTGGATACCTGGGTGGACAGCTGTCAAAATATTGTTTTTTTTAATGGACATGTCAGTTGATGAAGAGATTTTGTGTGCAGTCATGTGATATTTATATAACAATGAAATGCAACATTGTAGACCGATTGATTAAAAGGAATCTGTAGCTCCTTGTTAAGTGCTATCCCTGAGCCCTTGAGACCTTGACTACATGCAAGGTAATAAGGAACTATTTTTGTTACATATACCCCATAAAATATCAAAATCTTCTACCTATGAAATATTGTTTGTGGTTCTTTATGATTTGCAGACTCTGGGGTGGCTGAAGTGGATATACATGCTTGGTTATTTAAATGAAACCACATTACAATACCAGCCAGGTATATAGGGGCCAAACACTTTGCACCGTGTAGCCTAGGACTCAAGGCATGCATATTTTTTTTTCATTATTACTAAACAAGCATGTTTCATGTTCCCCGAATCACGCAAAGATGTCATAGTTACAGCATGAACATTAGCACTTTGACTGACATCTGGTTGTACTAACCTTCAACCATCAATTTTTAATGTTCTGCACTTAGAAAGTTAAATTAAATATGCATCTCTAACACACATGATTTTTCCTTCCAATCATTTTTTTTTTTCTGGAGGACTACTTAAATAGATATCATATATTGAAATAGTAAATCATCAGATACCAGGCATAGGTGACCTTTTGCACTCCAGATGTTGTGGACTACATCTTCCATAATGCTCTTACAACCGTAATGCTGGGAAAAAATCAGGGAAGATGTACTCCACTACATATGGGGTTCTGAAGGTTGTCTACCCCTGAACTAAGCTATATTTAACAACTGAGAAATGCTATGAACATGATGAAAGGTTATCCATCTACTACAAATTTAAATAGTGTAACAAGTGATGTGTAAAGACATTACTCTTTGATGAGAATAATTCTGCATTTAAATTAAAAAACACTTAAATTCATTAAGTCCATACAATACCCATTCTGATCATGCTCAGACATATTCCTTATCATGATAATCCTGCACTGTCTTTGGACCTGAAATGTTTATTAATTGTATATGCTACTAGGTTTGGTGTATACACACTTACAATCTTTGGAGCAGGTATAACTACTTTAGTGTCTCAGTGGCTCAAGAACATTGACAGGGAATGTGGTACTAAAATTTGTATTGAGAGAAAAACCAAAGGTGAGCAAAGTTTACACAAAATGTACTGAAATCATTTAAAGTCTTTATTTGCTAGGATTTGAGTGTCACTCAAGAGCTAAACAAATTGTGCGGAAAATTGCAGGTGACAAAGTCCTCTAATTGGATTATGATTTCCGTCAGTTATCTGTTTCTTGGATGGAACAGATACCACTGGTGGCCCCTCCTACATACACAATACGCATAATGTTTAATCATGGAATTTCTTCGGGGCTCAACCAACCTCCTTCTCTTTCACACCATCGCTATTAGCCACCACAGGGGTCACTGATACAATATACACATGTTTAACAACATTCATTATATCAACTTTCCAAGGAAAATATTAATATTTTTTAATACTTGGCTTTTTTCTCTTATCTTGTGTTATAGATTGGTATTGAAAATTATATTATTTAAATACCTAGATAATTGACTACATTGTCAATTATCTACGGATGTTAATTTTACTGGACATGTCGGTTAATGCAGATGATTTGTGTAATTAAAGTAATGAAAAAGAAATACAAAAATTCTTATAATTGTATAATTACCTGCAAGTTGTAAAAATATTAACACAAACTGAACTTCACTTGCTGATAATGAATTGTGCTTTTGAGATATTCAATATATTTACCTACTTACTGATTCTGCATACCACAAAGACCATAAAATACTGAGTACTTCATCTACAAATTACAGTCTTTATTGTTATCTGTATAACTGCTCAATATTCGAATGACTCAAAGTAAAATAGAGAAACAATATAGTTATAATAGAAGGGCCTTTATTAGCAATGTTCTTATTGACGTCCAATTCTTGTTTCTTAATGTGTGTGTTTTCATAACATCACTTGAAAAATAGCAGTGTTCGAACTAACTCATGTAGCAATGCTCATAGCAATAATTTAGCAAATTATATATTGCAGCTAAGATACAGTTTTAGGAAAAACAAATTATAAATCTAATCTACACTGTAACCTCATTCTGTTATCTCCGTCTTCAAATGGAAAAGGTGAAACTGAAGCTCAAAGTAATACAGATGTACATTTCTCATAAATCCCTGGGATATAGAGAGCTCTGATTGTAATTATATCTATATCGCCATAATTCATTAAAAGGATAACCCATGCCAGACTCTCACCCCCCCCCCCTTTTACTTATTGCACTATATAAATATTGATAAAAAAATTTAACTGCTAGACTAAATCACAATATTCCAACTACCACAGCAACAATATCATTGTAAAAGATTTGCAAGAAAATCTTACGCATGAGGCTTCCTGTTGCAAGGGTTTTGCAACAATTACTGTAGCTTTATGTCCACCCTTGTTCGAAGACATCTCAATGGAATGCTATTTTCGAGTTTCCTATGCCACTGTTACTGCAGATGCATACATATGTTTGCATGTATACTGCAAACCATAAATTCGGTTAATCTGTGACTCCATCCACAATTTCATTCTTACCATTTCAGGAATTAAACTGCTCACAACTAATAAAATTAATATTTTTATCCTATAAATCTCTGCTGGATAATAATGGCTTGAACTTTCAATAGCTGTCTGGTCCATGAAAAAATTGTAGACTTGTAGCAAATTTAAAAATAATAATCAGATATGAGCATCTTTTATCATCAATACTTTTTATTTACCTTCTGCCTTTGTCAGTGAATTATCTCCATTAATGCATACAGAATAACTCTAAGCAACTTAAACACTGTGCTCAGTGTTGTAGTTATGTTGCCAATAATCCATGAGGGTCATCCTATTTTTTGTCAGTTTGAGAACAACAAAAAAAAGAAAGGGGGGGGGGCGGGGGCAGATCTGTCTCTAGTACCTAAAATATCTAAAAAAAATAAAATAATTGGAGGTGATCACAGTAAACAAACTGAGGAGCCTCTGGAAACCGTTTAATTAGTATGTATTGCAAGTTAACATGTTACTCTCCCATGTTAAGATTAGTGTACAACCCATCAGTATTGGAGAAATGTGGTGGGCCACTAATAATACTATAGTGTCAGGAATACAAATGTGTATTCCTGACACTATAGATCTAAATAGCTGTTTAGGTGATTTGCTCCCATTACCTCTATTTTTCTCTAGTGCCGCGCAGGTCTGTTCGTGGCTGGCCCCTTCATGATCTGCTCCCTTGTCTGAGATCATCAAACTTGATGATCTCAGCCAATGCGATGCATTCCAATAGGGACAATAGGACCCCCCATATATTACAAATATTAGAGCCCCACCCACCATAATGGGTCAGGACCAGGGAAGGGACAATAGGTCACTCCTTTATTATACACCCTTTATTATAAATATTAGAAGAGGATAATAATATTTAAGGTAGCAAATACACAACCTGATGCCCATAAATGAAATTTCCCAGACCCCATCACCATTGGATGTGGCCTTTTATAGTGACTGGGCAGCAATGACAGCCCAGTCACTATTTTTTTAATGCTTAGTAGACAGATGTAGTGTGTGTATATGAAGGTAGATTACCTCAATCATAGCAATATGGAGATCTTACTGTCCCCTATAGGAATTTTATTCGGTTATGTTTTAGTTATTCTTTTACCATTTTAATGTGGCCACATAACCCAAATGCTACCAAGGCTTAGCTACAATTCATATTTTTAATTTTTATTTTTTAAATCTGGGCCCAGTGTTGAAGCTCCTGGGCCGGGATTGAATTCATTTGATCCTGATTTCAGCTGTTTGAATGCTGTTAGGAATGCTGAAATCCAGACCAAATTAAGGCCTGCTTAGGGCCTGATTTACAAAATCTGGACACTAATGAATTCCATCAAAAATGTCCATATTTTGCAGCCCGAATAACCCCATACAGAAGAAAATGGTTTTGCCCCATTCGATTCAGAGCAATTCGGACTTTAGTGAGTATTCTATTCGTCTACTTTTATTAAATTTTTTGCAGTTTTTTTACTTTTCGTTGACATTTCTTAGACTGGACAGTTTGTTCCGTTTCAGGTAGCTAAACATCCTTGACTATCATTTTATTTTGTGTGCTTATGGCAACTATTCAACTGCAAGACTATCAGGCTTATTCACAAAAGTAAGAATTCAAAGTAAATTTCAAATTCAAGGGCAGAGTAGCTGTATTTAAACCATAGCCAACTTACACAATCCTTCCAGTTTGTCTATGTTGACCTTAAATGTGAAATTCACTTTGAATTCACCTTGAATTCTCACTTTCATGAAAAACCCTGTAGTGAAGAGACGGAGGGTCATGTATAAACAGAGCCCGAAGAAGTCACTACTTCTACATAGCTATTGAGTAACACCTTAGTATATCTAAGGGTTTTCAAAGCTTTTAATCCATTTTGTGTAAAATATGCCCACCTGTATGTACTATGTACACAGTTTCTCTCCATATACCTTGTCAGCCAATAAAGATATTCCTCAAAGAGTTCACGAAAAAATTATCACATATGTATCGATTGTTTTAATTGTAAGTAAAAATGATTAGACATTATTTTGACACATGCACAATGTGAAGCATTAATGAGGAACTGTCACTTCCCATTTTTAAAAAAAATATTATGTTTACTTATTCTCTGCATTTATTTGTGAGGTGTGAAAAGTGCAATTGAAATTTGCACTTCTTTATCTTGCAGCTGGTCTCCTACATGTTAGCCCTCTGTTAATCATTTGTATAAGCTCTTTCCTTTGCTCCTGGCAGGCAGCAAAGAGAGCATAAAGAGAAAATGAGAAATAAAAAAATTCTTTCCCCCCTCCCCACTTGCAATGTGTGCCCTGGCTGTAGAGGGTTATGAGGTCATATACTAAATCTTTAATACAACTTAAAAAATGGAATGTCATACAAAAAAAGGCTATAACACAAGTCATATGTGATGTTCAAAGCTTTATTCAATGATGTCATTTCAGAGAAGTGACTATTCACCCTTTAAATGCCTTTTACCCTGGCCCCAAAATACTTCAGTAATCACAACACATCACAGTAAGCTTTAATCTATCTGAGATAACAGACAGGAGGTGATCAGCCCTTAAAGGACCACTCTAGGCACCCAGACCACTTCAGCTTAATGAAGTGGTCTGGGTGCCAGGTCCCTCTTGGATTAACCCTTTTTTTTTAATAAACATAGCAGTTTCAGAGAAACTGCTATGTTTATAATAGGGTTAATCCAACCTCTAAAGCCTCTAGTGGCTGTCTCACTGACAGCCGCTAGAGGTGTTTGCGTGCTTCTCACTGTGAAAATCACAGTGAGAAGACGCAAGTGTCCATAGGAAAGCATTATGAATGCTTTCCTATGAGACTGGCTGAATGCGTGCGCAGCTCCTGCCGCGCATGCACATTCAGCCGAAGAGGAGGCGGAGAGGAGGAGGAGAGCTCCCCGCCCGGCGCTGGGAAAAAAAGGTAAGATTTAACCCTTTCCTCGCCATCCAGCCCAGGGTGGAGGCACCCTCAGGGCACTATAGTGCCAGGAAAACTAGTATGTTTTCCTGGCACTATAGTGGTCCTTTAAGATGATATATATCCGATACAGATGATGTTCTTAGTATAGGAATCTATAAGTACAAAGCAAGAAACAGATTATGGTGCAGAACAGTAGATGTTTGTGAAGGTAATGACATCATCATCCTTCCAGAAACCGGAAATTGCTGTATGAACACCTTAATCCACTAACAAACACCAGAGAACACATATAAAGCTGTCCTACAGCAGAATACCACCCACTTTTGAGAAAGCCTTTAGTGAAATGGTGAAAAGCGAGGACTTGTTTTATCCACAGTTTGTTTGATATTTGTTTTTACTTATAGAGCTGTTGTTTCCAGCTTTTTTATTTAATAAACCTACTGTTTTATACATCATCACCTGTGGAGTACATCCTTCATACAACCCTCATCATCCTTCCGGTTCCAGCATATATCCTTATGCGGGGATTGTTCCACCTCAAGTTCTTCATACCAGAGCAGGACATTGCTCTGGGTGATGTAAGTAGGATATTTTCCTCCATCAATACTAATTGTTTGTATGTTTATACAATTGTAATATGGATTTCCTATTTTTGCTTTTTTTTACATATACCTACTCCATCCTGAAAACAAGCTCCATAGACCCTCCACTTATATCCATAGAAACGGATTATTCCATCCAGGCCTTCATAATAGAGCTGATACAGCTCTAAAAAGTGTGAGTGTGCATCTACTGTACTGCACCATAATCTGTTTCTTGCTTTGTACTTATAGATTCATATACTAAGAATATCATCTGTATCGTATGTATATATAATCTTAGGCACTGATCACCTCCTGTCTGTTATCTTTACTATCCACATCACAAAGGTGGAGAGGACCTCTTGTTGATGATTTGCGTCAAATTATAGATATCAAGCACTTTGCAGTCACCAGTTTTTCCATATCCTGAGCTTTAATTTATCTACCTAAAGGCTACAAGATGCATTCTATTTTCACATGTGGAATTTCATATCTACCATTATACTTCATGTCATCTGTCTGCCATGGTCTAAGCCTTGGTCGTCATTTGTGGCATTTGACATTCTTTCCTAGGTTTTGTTACCTTTATGAACTAACATTTCTAGATTTCATAGTTTACTAGTAAGTATCTACTATGTTTTTATAATACATCATGGAGGGGTTTTTTTTGGAATGAAATACAGGTCTCTAGTTTCTGTAATAATTGTCGTTAGAGATAGTGACAAATTATTGCAAACTACAAAATGATGATAGTTCTATGTATTCTATGCAATACAAACCTGCCCACCTGAAAACTGTTTGGCAACATTTAAAATGGATTGTGGCACTAAATTCAACTCCTGTTCATTGGTTACAAAAATTGGCTACAGAATTTTTTGTGGGGAAAAAGCATTTCAAATGTGTTTTTTTATTAAAGCTGATCTAATAAAAAAAAAATCTACAAATACAAAAAATGAAAATTCATATTATATTCAAAATCTCTGAATAGCTAAAAACAATTTCTGCAAAAAACCAAATACAGAATTCAAATACACCTACTTTACAGTTATAACTCACCACCAGTTGTGCATAGCATATCATTGTTCATTTTTTTTTGTTTTTGTTTTCCCTTTTGTTTGTCTTTTTAATGATTGATAAATGTATATTAACCTGGGCATACTACTGGTATCTGCTGTATTTATGTACATATGTATATTAATAGTAAAAAGCTATGTTTGCCGCTAAATTTCCAAATGCAAACATATACAAACAAGAAGCCATTTTTGGAATGCGATGGATATCAGACTCCTATAATTAACTGTGGAATTAAAGAAATCTATTGCATCACACAGGGATGAGGGAGTCGGACTATTGGTATGTCGCTCAAACTGGATAAAAATAGGGATTCACCAAAAACCTGTCCAAAGATATAATTAACTACTTTTTAAGTTCTCCGGGAGGCTGATTCACTGATATCTAAACAGAAGATGGACATTCTTTAGAGTAAGGTAATCACAGAGTTGTGCTGTTACTGGTGGTAATTTGAAATCCTGGTAATTATCAATTGAATTCATATTTTGTGCAGCATCTGCTTTTCTTAACTTAATTAACATGAATGCATATCCAGTGCCAGAGATTATATTAAAGGGACTGTAATGCCTTCAAATAAAACAGATGGTAAAGAGAACATTATGGTAGCAGTATCATTCTTTAAAGAAAATGTTTTAAAAACTGGTAATATATTTTGATCACTTTAAAGAAGTTTTGGACCATAACACTTTTTTTTTTAATGCAGATTTTTGAACTATATTTTAGGACTGTTTTTCTAATTCTAGGTTTGGTCTTGTGCCAACAGATATGTTTCTTGTATAAACATGAGCACTCAGTAACATATATAATCTATAGATTTTAAAGCAAATTAAGCAAATGTTGGACCCATTCAGAGGACTCCGCAGAAGTACTCAATGGAAAATCATATACAGCGTTATTCACAAAAAGTGAAATTGTTGGTAAATCAAAGTGAATTTCAAATTAAAGGTACACTGTAAGCGCCAGAACCACTACAGCTTAAAGGACCACTATAGTGCCAGGAAAACATACTCGTTTTCCTGGCACTATAGTGCCCTGAGGGTGCCCCCACCCTCATGGTCCCACTCCCGTGGCGCTGAAGGGAGAGGAAGGGGTTAATCCCTTACCTTTTTTCCAGTGCCGGGCTCCCTCTGCGCTGGGGACTCTCCTCCCTCTTCTGACGTCCCTGGCTGAATGCGCATGCGCGGCAAGAGCTGCGCGTGCATTCAGCCTGTCCATAGGAAAGCATTCTCAATGCTTTCCTATGGATGCTGGCGTCTTCTCACAGGAAGCGCCTCTAGCGGCTGTCAATGAGACAGCCACTAGAGGCTGGATTAACCCTATTTTAAACATAGCAGTTTCTCTGAAACTGCTATGTTTACAGCAAAAGGGTAAAACCTAGCTGGACCTGGCACCCAGACCACTTCATTCAGCTGAAGTGGTCTGGGTGCCTATAGTGGTCCTTTAATGTAGTGTTTCAAAGGGAATGAGCCTGTCCCTACAGTCTTTCCATTGTTTTCTGAGAATAAGCATTGTTTACATTGTTCCCTAGAAATACCTCTAGAAGCCATTCAATGCACTTCCTCATTACAGTCCTGCAATCTTTGCAAGACTGACATTTGTCGTCTTCGAGCTCTGCACAAAGATGCCGAACGTAGCATTAGGACTTTGCAGGCGTAAAGCCCATTGTTACTCATAGAGCAATATTAATTTCAACGATGCTCTGCAAGAAGCATTTGATTGGCAGATGGCGGTGATTGACACTGATATGTTATAGGTCCTGTTTCTTAATAAGAAGCATTTAATTGGACAAAGTGATGGCATAATTATTATGACAGAGCAAGTAGATTGGGCTGGAGATCTCGGAGCTGGATTCAAGGTAAGTTTTAATATAAAATCTAAGTTTATTCGATGCAAAAAGGAGCCCATAAGTCTACATGAAGACACTAACACATCTGACTGTTAAAGATTTTTTATTTTTTTTACAGAGTTTACCTTCGAGGCCAAAATACTCAAACTGGAAACATCGCTAACTTGAGAATTTTTCCAGTTTGGCTATTTTAGCCTTAAATCAGAAATTTACTTTAAATTCTCAACAATTCTCACTTTTTCATAGATTGATCCACATATTCTTTTTTTTGTATCAACCAGAACAATTTCTCTACACTAGAGTCGGAAAAAGACTGGTATTGTGCATCTCAGACTGTAAAAAACATTTATAAAATGTAATATTATTATGTCTGATTTGTTTTGATATTTCATTTTCTTGTTTGAGGAACTTGTTTTCTTGTGCTGTATGGACTGAACAAAAATATAAACACTCTATCTATGCCAGAGGCATTGAATAAACCAATTTATTACGCGATGACCAATGGGTCAAGAAGAAGACATATGTGGTTTTCAATAACTTTTACTATAGGATTAATTCACTAAACTAGGGGCTATGAAGGCATTAGAAGGGGTTTCCAAATTCCAGTGTACGATTATTAACAAATTGTTGTTTAGCATTCAATTAACATGCAAAGTCACTATCTGTTTGCTGCATCTTCCCCTGTAGGAGTCTGGAAAACATGCTGAGTTCATTTATCTTATTCCTTATGTGCTGTAAAACAAGCAAGCTATATTGATCATTTTTATATTATGCCATTGGCGTTATAGTCTACTGTGCTTTCTAAGTTCATCTGTGGGGAAGAAAGATTAAGGCTACGCACTCGCAATGCAATATACAAGCAAGTTTATTGCCCAGAGCAACACTGTATCATTTGTACATGTTATGCACTACAATTCAGGATGGAGGCTGTTAAAATGCGACAGGGGTTAAAATGTTCGTCCTTGTAGCGGTAGTTTAATTCTAAATTTCCATATTAACAGAAGACACAAGAGGAGACTACAGCAGAAATTGACCATTTAGAGGAACCGTTTAGCAGAAACAAATCCATATTAACTGCCTTTATTATGATGCTACTGTGTTACCAGTAATTAGCCGCACTCACACTTAGGAATCCAGGTGCTTATCAGGGCCAGGGTTGGCAAAACCCAGTTTAGTAGATAAAATAAATTAGGTTCGGGCACTCAGGATTGCTGCAGGAAGGCAGGTTTATTGGAACAAAAAGTGCAAAAAGTTCATGCTTGATGAAGGCCTCTGTGTAGGCCGAAACGTTGCACTTTTTGTTCCAATAAACCTGCCTACTTCAGCAATCATGAGTACCTAGACCTAATTTATTTTATCTACTAACCTGTGTTACCAGTCTCATCTACTGATACTCAATGAGCCCTTGTGCATGTCATCCCTGCCTAATGTACTTTTGTATTACCCTGATTTAATAAGACTGGGGCAGGACTATGAAACTTTTATACTGACCCAGTTTGTGCTATTCGATAAGCCAGAGTATTCAAGTCTGGCTTGAATTGGCAAATTGCAATCCAGAGAAATATTCAATTGTGTGAGAGAAGATAAAGCATTCTAGACAAAGTGGCAAACTGGATGTGCCAGCTGGCACTTAGCAATGCGACTAGCTCATTTAATTATTTTCAAAAATTTTAATTGAACCGTTTTTGCATTTTACAATAAGGATATAACAAGGGCAAAAGGTAAAAGGCAATAAGGGGAAACAAAAAAACATAAGGGTAACAGATACCCCATCACCATGTAGTTACTCACAAAACATAGAAGGAGCCGTGGGCATATGGATACATTTACTTCATGAAAGCAACCAGTGTATAAATACAAATAAGTTCTAAATGTCCAAAGTCTCATGAATTAAGCGCATACCTCCATACTCTGTTCCAATTAACAAGTATGATTATCATCATCATCATTTCTATAATACCAGTATATTCCATAAAAATCATCTCTTTCTTCACCAGTAAACCGTGGAGGATCCATATTAAAATGAATGTTGCCAGTGGTGATGTTTATAGATATACACCTGAAATCACACAAAACAACACTTTTTGAAAAAATCTTGTCAAACACAATTTTGTTGTTTTTCTATCATTGTGATATGTTGTTAATATGACATGTTTATGTCATACAAGATAGTGCATGTCATAAACATGTTTACCATCCCAGGTGTTTATATGGTTTGGAAATATTGGAGTCATTAAAGTTAGTAATTACTGCACTAGGTGGCCGTTCCCTCTTCTGTAGGACTAACAGGATTATTTACTAAACTGAGAATTCAAAGTAAACTCCAATGCCAGAGTAGCCAAAATGAAAGCATGGATGAATTAGACAATGTTTCTGGTTCAGCCACTTTTATATTCAATTTGAAATTTCCTTTTTAATTCTCATTTGAGTGAATAACCCTGTCTGTGTCCTTCAACCCATCACGGTAACATATAGGAAATTCTCTGGAAGTTATGAAGATATTCTTGTTACCACACTGACTATGCAAACAAAAATGAGAATTGAATATTGTTGGTTAGAAGACAGAGTGTTAGTGGATATCATTGCTTGACCATCACAAATATTTATTATAGCACTAGTTAGCAAATGGTGTGTACCTGAGCTACACTTGGTTTCCTCACACTGGGGTAAGCAGCAAATCTTTATCTCTTAATTAATGTAAGTACAGAAGAGCATATAAACTATATGATACTATAGACATTAGACCAGTGGTTTCCAAACTGTGTGCCGCAGCGCCGTGGGGAACCGCAACGTGCCCACAGGGGTGCTGCGGAATGTTTCCCCTGTGCTATGATTATAGCACTGGGGAAACATTACTGCTAAACAGGGGCCCAGTCAGGTGTTGCGGTTCTCTAATACCGCGACCGGGCCTCTGTAATGTCATGCAGGCAGACAGCGCGGGAGGAGGCAG